GGCTAGCTTCTGTCCAGAGCTTACCTGTTGCATGACAGTTCACAGTTACTGCTGCTACGTGTCCTGTCCTCCTCACGACCACTCTTGGTTAAAAATCCAAATTGGTCTAATTTCGGGAGTTTTGCCACCCTTTCCTCTAGCTCTCTACGTTCCTGGCGCTTCTTGCAGCCGCTCTTGGGTTTGAAGGGCATGCTACTGTACTTGTTTTGGTCAGCACGATGATTGCAATGTGCAGCCATCCATTCAAAAAATCACAATAAAACATTTAGCCTTCCCAGAAACCCTTGCTGTATCTCAGTAGAAACAAATATACTCTGACATGACAGTTTGGCGACAATGAAAGATGATAACTTTATTTAGCTGTTTTTATTTGATGGTTGGATTTTAATGCTGAGGTTTTTTTTTTTTTTTAAGGAGGCGGGTCCGAGGTAGTGACGGGCCCCCAGAGATCACGGGCCCCGGTGCGACCGCACCTGCTGAACCTGCTATAGTTACGCCACTGCTACATACAAGTATACAGTAGTCGAAAAGCATGGAGAACAGCGAGTTAGTTCCGGTAAAATCAGACAGTGATATTGATTGGTTGTCCACGGTAAAAACGTCATTCTTTGTGACAGTAACTTTATTTAGTAGCTACTAACTACGATGTAACTTAAGTGACAGTAGTGCAACCGACAAAGAACGCGGCGCTAGTTTCAAACTATCTAGTTTCAACGTAAGACTTAAGGTATACTTTACACCATACTTTACGATCGAACTTACGCTTAGCTGGTGCAACCCACTGCTGGATAGACTGGTTCAGTGAATGAGGAGGTGAATCTGTACAGGAGGGTCAGTCCATCAGAGGAGACTCTGTAGAAGGACAGAGCACCAGCCGCCCAGTCCAGATACACTCCTACTCTGTGGGAGCCTGAGGGCTTTATGGGTATGACAGTCTGTTTATTATTGTGCTGGACAGATCTCGAGTAACTGTCAGGACGACAGCTCAGACTCCATGACTTGTCATTGGCTCCAAGCGTACAGTCATCACTCCATCCTTTCCTCCCGATTCCTTTGTAAGTCACTCCTATATCAGCTCCATCTCCACTCCACTCAGCCTCCCAGTAACAGCGGCCAGTCAGACTCTCTCTACACAGAACTTGGAGCTTACGGTCAAATCTTTCTGGATGATCAGGATATGGCTGCTCTGCCCCCCATGTCACCTTCCTGTTCCCCTCTGACAGAGACAGTTCTATGTGTGCTGTGTTGGGGTCCAGCGTCAGCTGGCAGGAGTCTGGGGGCAGGGGGAAGAATTATTAATACCATCAGGCAGCCTGTACTTTATGTTTCTGTACAATATAAAAACAGCACAGCTTCCCCGAACGAAGCGGGAACTGAAATTTATGAAATAGCTCAGGAAATGTCAGACGGCGCGCGTCGCCGGCGGGAAGAGCCGCCAAAATGTGGCGCGAGCTAAACTAACAGCTGAATTACGGGTAAATAAAATTACAAAGCAGCGACATTCATCAGACACATTCATCACAAGTATATTTTCCACAAAACGGCACCAGATATTAATACTAAAAGTCAGCGTCTTTCCTTCTAACCGCTAAACCCGACGCGTGGGGCTTGAAAATGGCCATCAATAACAGGATATTTAAGTAATAAGTGATATTTAATAGAAGTTTGGACCTGGATTCTGATACAAACGCCTCCGAACACGATTCTGGCGCTGGATCGAGTAGCGCTCCATGAGGATCCAGTATTTGCAGCGCTTGTCTGACATGGTCTTTAGTCACAGCAAAGCCGCTCTGAATGCATTTCACATGCATCGGCTTTTTCCGTGAAGCGTGTCATACTGTATCTACTGATCCGGGAGAAACACTGCGGTGTCAAGCGGGGCGAAATAGGTTCCGCGCAAAGTCGGCAAACTAATGATAATACCGTTTACAAACCATCAATAAAGGTGGATTAAACTACACAGATCGTGCATCATGAAAAATAGAAAGGTTATGTCATTAATTCAGAAAAACAGAAAATTATTACTCAGATAAACATGATGATGATTACGTTAATTCGGAAAAACAGAATGGATTGTTTTTCAAATGAATGCCACAGAGAACCGCTTACCGCGTGCGTGACTCTAGATGTGGCGCCGCTGCCGCGAGGCGTGAGCAGTGTTGCCAGATCTCGCGAGATAAATAAGCAACCAGGCCTGTGAAAACAAGCCCAAAACAAGCGACTTTTTCTACGGAGCCCCCCTAGTTTCAGGGAAGAGAAAAATAAATAAACTGTGTGCAGTTTTACAATTCGTGGGGACGGATTTTAAACTGTGGATACAGATTGTCAATACAGTAGTTTA